GTGTGGACGGAGTACTTGGGGACGTGGCTGAGTGGTCACGGTGGGGTTGGGTTGACGGTTGGACTTGATGATCTTAGAGGCCTTTTCCAACCTTAATGATTCTATTCTATCTGATGATTCTACGAACTCACACGTAGCCTGACCATACCCTTCCCGGTGTCTTCCTTCAGCGGTCCCTGTTGGAAGCAGGGTCCAGAGGGAGCCTAAATCGTGCAGGGGGCTTAGAGGATACTGTGGCACTTACGCAACAAGCGCTGTGGACCCCCAGAGCTACCCGCCGGGATCAAACCTCCAAGCTCGGCACCGTGTCCTCACCGTGCCTGTCAGCCATGCTGTCAAAGAACATCCAGTCTTCGTTCTCGGGGCCGTATTTCACGAAGGAGACGTAATGACTGGTCTCGATGCAGAGCACAGCGAAGAGCTCCAGCTTCTCGCGAGGCACCTGCTGGCCGCTCCCCGCGAAACTCTGCCTGTGAAACTCTTCCGGGACTTGCAGCCTTGTGGGTTTGTGCGTTTTGCGTCGGTGATGGGAGTGAACCTGAGGAGAGACGACGGGGTGACACCGCTGAGACAGACGAGTGCACAGGGGTCAGGGCCCCAAGTTTATTCCACATGGATCTGACTCCCAAGGTGTCAGGGAATGGGATGGTGTCGACCGGCCGGCAGCAAATGCTGAGACGGGAGCCTTGCACCCTCCGAGAAAGGCCAGAAAGCTGTAGGAATGGTCCCACTGAGACAGCACGGGGGACTCAGCCCTTGGGCTGGGCAGGATCAGTCCTTATTGCGGGTCTGTGTAAGCAGAGGGTTCAACAGGGGATTAAAAAAATGACCAGGCCACTGTAATTGGTGCTGGTGAGGTAGCACCTTGAATCCTGGGTTCAGTTTTGGGCCCCTCATGACAAAAAAGACACTGAGGTGTGTCCAACGGAGCTGGGGAAGGGGCTGGAGAACAAGTGTGGGGAGGAGCAGCTGAGGGAGCTGGGGCTGCTCAGTCTGGAGAAGAGGAGGCTGAGGGGAGACCTTCTCGCTCTCTACAACTCCCTGAAAGGAGGGAGTAGTGAGGGGGGGGTCGGTCTCTTCTCCCAAGGAACAAGCAACAGGACAAGAGGAAATGGCCTCAAGTTACACCAGGGAAGGTTTAGATTAGATATTAGGACAAATCTCTTTACTGAAAGCAGGGGGAAGTTTCAAACAGGCTGCCCAGGGCAGCGGTGGAGTCGCCGTCCCTGGAGGCCTTCAAAAACCACGTAGACGTGGCGCTTCAGGACACGGTGTAGTGGTTTTGGGAGTGTTGGGTTGATGGTTGGGCCTGATGACCTTAGAGGCCTTTTCCAGCCTTAATGATCCCGTGTTTCCTGTGATCATATAACTCGTGGCTCCCAACCTCGCTCGTGCAGGTGGTGGGACTGACACTGAGGAAGGGGCCTCTCTGAGCCCAACCTGAAGGGCCGCAGGGTCAGCGGGGGAAACTGGGCTATTTTTTGGGACATTCCATCTGCTGAGGCAGATTTCACAAGCGTCTCAAGAAGAAGAATACCTGTCTGGAGCAGGAGCTGCAGAACTGCTTCAGGCCCGTGGCTGCAAACACCTTGTCTTTGAAACACTCCCAACACTCCAGGGTGGCGACGGCGCCGCACAGGCAGCACTCCCTGGGACCTGCGGAGGCGACAGGGGTGAGAAGCTGCGTCTGGCTCCACGTCTCGCCTGAAATCCAACTCCAAGAATCCCACCATGATCCCACCTTGAGGACCCAAAGAGGTGAAGCCGCATCACCTGGTTGCTCGCGGTCCCAGCCGGCACCTTTAACTGTTGCCCAAGGACTTACTGTCAAGCAGCAGATCCGTTATATCCAGCTCCAGGGAAGGAATGATTTTGCTGAACATTTTATACTCCTTCCCAAACCGCGGCATTTGGATAATGAAGCAAGATGGGATCTGGGGAAAGAAAAAGCAAATCGGGTCACCCTGCCAGAAGAGACAAGCTTCAGAGAGACTCTTCTCTCCGTATCGCTGCTGAGGGTGAAGACTTTCTGCTCTTTTTCTTTTATTCACAAGACAAAACAGCTACAGGGAAAGCACAGCCCTCTTCCCAGCTCAGATTCCCCCGCCAAGACCTTTCTCTTGTGGTTGTATCCTCCTCTGCAGGATTTAAGACCCCTGGCAGGCACAGGAAGGTCAGAGGAAGCAAGAAAGAGGCAGCAGAGAGCAGCAGAGGTGGAAGGTAGCGGGCTCACCTCCACTAGCTTCAGCCTGGAGGACAGGAAGGAGTGTTCCACTAACTGCTGCACGTTGGGAACCACCAGATCCTCCTGTTGGTCCATAAATATCTGGTAACAGTAACATCCCTGCTCCTGGCCTCCTGACCTGCAAGGAGTGGTCACGGGGGCTTCGTGATGCCAGAAACATCCGAGCTCTCCCCGAGGACGTACAGTTTGTCCCACGAGAGCTTCTGGGCCCAAGGCACCAAGGGCTGCTCGGTGCAACACGGCCACGAAGCTCTTTTTTTCCACCCAGAAATATTAAATATGTGCCAAGAGGATACAAATACCATCTTCAGTTTCGTTATCCCTCCAAAGCATCACATCCTAGGAGAAGCAAAGCTGTTTCCCCTCATCGATGCAGAAAACACCTCGATATTTATTTATGTTTTTTTTTTTAGAATCGACTGCATTAACGGCACAATCAGCAAACTACTTCTCCGAGGAAAGGTCTATTTATAGAAAACCACGGAGCAAAACTCGGGGCGTTCAAAAGGTGAGTTGCTTGCGGGAGATCTCCCACAAACCCAATGTCCCCAAGCCAGGAGAGAAAGGATTTCCTTCAGACGACCCTCGGCGGGCGAGCTGCGGCACAGAGTCGTCTTTGTGCTCGAGCCTTTCCGAGTACTCCACGATCTACGGCTTGACTGACGGCTCAACAAAGGAGCTCAGAAAGCGAACAATCCCCTTCTATGCTCCTGAACAGCCCAGTTATTTTTGGCTTCCTTCAGCCTCTCATCCTTTTTGTAGAGTCAGGAAAAACTGGGACTGCATCCACGGATGCTTTGAGAGGCTGCGGGACCCGAGCCAGCTTGACAGCCTGGATATATCCCAAAGCTGGCAGATCCCGCTGGCTCCGCGCTCACGTTGGACACTACGTTCCTCAAAACCAAGGGATGTCAGGAGGTTTTTAACATTGTTTTTACTGAAGGTGGCACCTCCAGGGGAGAGTCTGCGTCTTTTTTATCCTGGATGCGTCACCTGGGACAAGACAACGAGCGAGATCCCGCGGGCAGCGGAGGGGAGCTGCAGCCTCACTGAGCTTCGCCTCCAAAAGCCTCGACGAAAAGGTGCGACTAAGGCGCCGCGATCGTGCCGTGGGTGTCTAACAAGCCTGGCCTGACTAAACTGCGTCGCTTGGACAGGGGAGACTTACTGCAGTTTCAAGAGCGGCTCTATTCCCACGATCTGATGCATGATGAGATTGAGGAACTCCTCGGGATCTGAAAAGTCAGCAGAAAAACAAAACAAAACACGGGTCACACCAGATGCGTTGCCTTGCCCGGCTGCATCCAAAAGGCAGAAACTGGCAGATAAACGTGAGCCAGCGTTTGGTGAACCTCGAGTCTCCTCGATGATCGGGCTAAAAAAGCCGCGAGGGCTGGGTTAATGCGTAAATTCGTAAAGGCAAAAAGCAAACCAGCCTTGGATTCTGCGCTCTTACAAGCTGGGGACATCACAGTAACTATCTCAGAGACTATAACCGACTGCTGAAGTATAAATTCAAATTTAAATCGGCGACAGCTATAGAAGTTCCAGGAACTGAACAGTTAAACTATCCCTGGCTAAACTAGACAGTACCAAACCCAAGTGCTGGTCACTGGTCTTCTTTTTAAAGAATAAATGAACCTCAGATTTAACTCAAAAAGGTCTTAGCAAAGCGATAAATCAAGCTGGATTCTAGGAGGGACCTCAGGGTTGCACTTCCCAGGGTATAACTCAAAGCCTAAAGGTCGTGGAAATTCGCTTTGTTTAAATTCTGTTCACACAAATCTTCCTCCCTCTCCCCTCCCAGCAACTTTTTTTTGAAAGAGACTCAGCAACTCCTACTTTTCCATCGGGCTCCGGGACAAATTTTTAAAAGCTGAAAGCATTTTACACGCGCGTTTTGACAGAACCGAGGAGCGAGGCGGGCGTACGAACGCACGTGCCTGGAAGAAGCGTGCAATTAAGTTGTCAGCCCGGTGCCTGGATGAGGCGGCGCCGAGCAAAGCCCCCGCGAACGCGTTACCTTTCTCGGCGTTGGTAAAGCTTGAACACGGGCCCTTTTCTGTGAGCTGCTCCCTGAGGTGCATCACGCTCCGAGCGCTGACAAAGCCAGTCCTGAAAACGAGAAGCGGCTGCGGATGATCTCTCCGGTGTATTTAAAGCCTAAAAGCATTGAATGGTTTGGGCTGGAAGGGAGTTTTAAAAGATCATCTGGTCTCTTGTAGGCAGGGACACCTCCCACTACACCAGGTTGCTCAAAGCCTCGTCCAAACAGGTCTTGAGCACTTCCAAGGATGGGGCAACCATAATTTCACCGGGCAATTTGGTCCTCATCTTAACAAATTTCTTCCGTATGTCCAATCTAAATCTAATCTTTCAGTTTAAAACCACTTCCCCTTGTCACATCGCTCCAGGCCCTGGTAAAAATTCTCCATCTTTCTTATCAGCCCCCTTTGAAAGGCTGCTGTAAGGTCTCCCTTCTCTTCTCCAGGCTGAACAACTCCAACTCCTTCAGCTTTTCTTCATAGCCCTCAGATCATCTTTGTCACCTCCTGTCGACCTGCTCCAACAGGTCCATGTCCTTCTTGCGCCGGGGACCGCAGAGCTCTGGGGGAGTCTCACCTGAGCAGAGCAGAGGGGCAGAATCTCCTGCCCTCCCTGCTGGCCACGCTGTTCTTGACGCAGCCTAGGATGGCATCGGTTTTCTGGGCTGCGAGCGCACGCTGCTGTCCCATTTTTCACAGAATCAGTATGGCTGGAAAAGACCTTCAAGGTCAAGTCCAACCATCATCTAGAGCTCTACCCGCAGGTCTCCCCTCCAAGCGCTTCTCTGCAGGGCTGCTCTCAGTCTGATTCAGCACCACCGACCACCCTGGGGTTGTATTTCTGCAGCCAGTGCCGGGATGTCGGTTCTCGAGGAAGACGCCGATGTCTCGTGTTCAATCAGCTCCGGACGCGTTCCTGTGTGACCTGCTCTGGGTGATCCTGCTCTGGATCTAGATGATCTTTTGAGGTCCCTTCCGACCCCCAACATTCTGTGAGCTCTCTGTGCCTCTCTTCCACACCTCTCTTAGGGAGGACGAGGAAAAGAACGTGGTGTCCTCCGTACAAATTCCAGCTTCCATGTCTGATTTAGACTCATCCAGCCTGGCGCTGCCCTTGGGTGAAGGCCTTGGTGGTCTGAACCCCAGGAATCCCCCTCCCTTTGTTCCTTTCACCGACAAGGGCAGCTCGCAAAGTTTCCGTCTGAGTAAGAGATACTCAGGGATGTGTGGCAGGAGTCGTGACAAGAGGAGAGTTGGAGAAGAGGAGATTGAGGGGAGACCTTATCGCTCTTTACAACTACCTGAAAGGAGGTTGTAGCGAGGCCGAGGTTGGTCTGTCCTCCCTAGTGGTGAAGGGCAAATGGTCTTAATTTGCATCAGGGGAGGTTCCGGTTGGATACGAGGAAGAATTTCTTTACTGAGAGGGTTGTCAGGCAGTGGAACAGGCTGCCCAGGGAGGGGGTTGAGCCACCACCCCTGGAGGTGTTTTATTTAACACACACTGCATTGGAGGACATGGGTTAGTGGTGTTGATAGGGCGAGGAAAAGGTTGAGCTTGATGATCTTGAAGGTCTCTTCCAGCCGAAAATGTTCTATGATTCTGTGATTCTATGATTCTGTGACAACCTTACAACCCACGGAACAACTCGAAGGTGAACCCAACATGAATCTGGATGTGGCCAACAGGAGAAACCCTTTCCCTCAGTGACAGGGACCATCTGGCGGAGAAGCTACGAAGGCAGAGGGGCGAGTTCCAGGATTCCCACACACTATATACACTCACTTTCGGAGGGGATTCACGATTTCATCCCGCAGGATGCTCTGGACATTCCTGTCACACAGCGAGAAGGGCTTGAAGAGCATCGAGTCCAGCACGGACGTGCAGGAGAAGAGGCTGCAAAAAGAGGGTGACGGGCGTAAGTAACCCTGGTTTGCAGCAATGGGTAGAACCAAACTGTTGCGCCCGGTGACAGCTTTTATTTTCATGCCGTTAAGGAAAGGTGAGTGAGAGCCATGAGACAAACGACGCCTGGTTTAATGAACACTGGCAGTAAGCGAGGCAACAGCTCAGAGAGAACAAAATCTCGTACTTCACAGCCAAAACTACTCATGGGGAGGGGGCACCACTGAGTCTTTTCCTCTCCGGACAGTGAAGGTGGCATCTCCTGGGTGGTTTTCTTTGGAATGTTTCCAGCCGTTACCTCCAGTGACAGAGTCAGCATGGTCCAAAGTCCAAAGAACTACGATCTCCCAGCACCCTGCATGACAGACACACGGGACTCACGAGAGGTGCTTCAGGGTCTGAGAACCCACCAGACCAGGAAGGAGATCAAAAGCAGCGAGCGTTGAGGCTGCATCTCCAGTTATATTCCGCTCTACGCCAGCTACGTTTCCAGCCACCTTGGAAAGTCCAGGGAAGCGCTGACAGTTAATAAATTAATACATAAAACCCCACCACACGAGCAGATTCTTACCTGAAAAGAGCTGCGTCCATATAACAGGAATTACAGTGGCCTTGGATGCCCTTCATCCGCCCTCGCAGGACACGCACCGCCGCCTCGTTCCTAAGGGGAGGGAAATTGTCTGGAGCCTGCGGAAGAACTTCTTGTCCTCCTGCAAGAGAAGCAACAGAAACAATTCCTTTTAGTTTCCCACCTCGTCCGGGTCAGCTCTGCCCTTCCCTGATACCTCAGAGGCCCCCAGGACCACCTCTGCCGTCATTATGCCCGGTATAAAGAAGACTGAAAGAGCGACAAACGACCTGCGATCCCAGTAGCAAGGGGGTAAACAGGCAACTGAGCTGTAAGAACCTCATCCTCCTGGCCTGTTAGCTCCCCAGCTTCGAAGGTGGCTTCCTCAATCTGGGCTCTTTCGGTTTCTTCAGCATCCTCTCCTTTTAATTTAATCCCTTCTTCTCAGCATCCCTTTCAGACATCCCTCCTTACCCCTACTCCCAGTTTTCGGGCAGGCCCTACAGGAATCCTGCGTGTTCGTTTACATGGATCTCATTTACAGCCTCTAAATCGCAAGTTCACGCCGTCTTCTCTGCTCTGGAGGAATTTCTTCCCGTTCAAAGGAAAATACTGACCCTGCCTTGTGAATGTCTTATCACATCAAGCTCTACATTGGTCTCTTCTCCCAAGTACCAAGTGAAAGGAGGAGAGGAAGCAGCCTCAAGTTGCACCAGGGCAGGTTTAGATTGGATCTGAGGAAAAATTTCTCTACTGAAAGAGTGGTGAGGTGTTGGAACAGGCTGCCCAGGGTAGTGCTGGAGTCCCCACCCCTGGAGACGTTTAAAAAACATGTAGATGCGACACTTGGGGACGTGGTTTAGTGGTCATGGGGGTGTTGGGTTCACGGTTGGACCAGATGATCTTCTTTTCCAACCTTAATGATTCTACGATTAAAATTGATTTAATCCTCTCTCCAGGCTGCCTCTTATTTCTCAGTCCCCACATGTGACATCGTTCCCACCTGACATCTTGGCCGTGGGCCTGAGCTTCCCCCTTCAATGCTCCAGAGCCACATGTGTCACTGACATTTAACAAAGTAGCTGGGCCAGGCCCTAGGGCCAAAGCATTTGTCCATATTCAGGTCTCAGTTATACAAAATCTTTCCTCCTGTGCTGAAAACCACAGGCAGAAGAGCCTCATCTTGCTTACAGCCCTCCCAGGAATCACACACGGAATCACAGAATGTTTGGGGTTGGCAGGGAC